CTTATTTAAGAATTCCTCGGATGTCAAAGTAAGGAAGCAGGAATTTACTACCTGTCTATACGACATACGACAACAACTTCGTTTCGCCACTGGCATTGCGAATGGATGTTATCAGCTCTATAACATGAGTAGAGGACGTGGATAGGATGAGGCAGTCAAGCACCTGCCTTGCTCCTATCAATCCGAGAAGCCATTCTGGGCGATACCAGCTTTCTATGGCCAGTGTAAAGGTTGCACTACAAACTTTCCCAATAGTTTGATTTGGTTGACGATCCAGCCTTGAGTGTCTCCCGCGAAGGACGTAAAGGAAGCCCAAAGGGGCCCAACTGCTATGATCTTCTCTGACCGCTGTTCCTCCTATATATCCTACGGAATGCTATGAAGGAAGGTAAGTAATCACGAATACTCTCATTCTTGAGAAGAGCTTGTGGACCTTCATTATTTCTGTGAGGCAGGTAAGACATACACTGCTTTTTTTACCGAAGTAGCCCCCTAGACAGACGTCTGAATAGGGGGCTGATGTAAGGAGCTTCACCCGTTACCACAGACGGCCAATAAATTGAACAGACGTGGCGTCAAAATGACTCCTATAATGAAAGCCATGGAAAACATATTTGGAAAATGAAAACAAGTTTACCTCTATCTTATATTACTTAAATAGTGTCTTTTTTAACATCGTTTTTAATAAAAAAATTCCTTCAGTAAAAAGCAACCAAATTTTAAAGAAATATGTTTATTGCACACAATTTCCGTGAATTTTTGCAATAACATTTTTGGTAACTTTTTAACATAAAGAAATGAACTTGCTAAGTACTTTTCATACAAGACTGGTTAAAAACATAAAGGGAATACTTATAACGATTAGAAATTAACGAGAAGGTAATATTCTGGAAACGTGCAGTAGGTTCCCCAGGTAATTTTTTCATTTTGCACAGTCCGTGCAAACCATTTGAAACGGTTTTTTTCCATAGAAATAGTTTCCTGTAGAAACGCGGTTCGATGTCTCATCTTCTTCGGTAGAAAGTTCCTAGTACTTGCATCTAGGTGGCGCCCAAACTTCAGCCATTTGTATCAAACACCAAAGTACAAAGAACCACATTCTGAGATCACATTAACTACCAACTGAGCACCGGGTTAGTTATATTTTCCCCCCAAATTACAACTAGGAATATAGACATGACAATACAGTTTTCGCGAGAGAACAATGGGAGGTCGATGTCAGGCTCTGAGGATCAAAACCCGCTGGTATAGCAGTAGAAAAGGGTCCAGAGACTTTCCGCTAGAGAAGAGTAATCTGTCAGTCGGACTCTTCTCAACAGAAGCGAACATGGATAGTTTACTCGAAGAGGAAGCACCCAAAACATGTGAGCAGTATTCGTGACTAGGTATTTTCAGGACCTTGTACATACACAATGAGAAAATTATTTGGAGAAAAATACTTCCAATCCCCAAACAAATCACCAGGCTTTTTCTCAGCGGCTGCCGAGATTGACCAGATGTGTTCGTGCCTCATAATAGTCTTGGCGTTGATGACACTGAGAAAAATCACTATATTTAACTTATTTCCACAGCTTGTCTGTCTGGAGCTTCGTTACTGCCACGTAACTACAGCATAATCTGAACTTATTGTTTCTGTTTTTCGAAGCAAAAAAATATATAGCTAGTGAAATGTTGAGGAAAAAGTTGGGACAAGGTGACTTTTATAGTAGGTATGCTTTCTCAATAACCTGGTCACATTTTTCAGAAGCATCAATATTTATAATTTTTGTGGTATTACAAGAACTTATGTGCATCCAACAATTTCAAATAATCACACCTTACTTCTTTCCTATAGTTTCTAATTGTTTCTAATAGTTTCTAATCATACTTTCGTATTTAACCTTTTTTTTGGTGTCGGAAGAAGAAACGTTATACTGTGGAAATTTCTACAATAAAATTACGTGAGTTGAAAATATACTAAGTGACATATAAATCCGAATACCCAGTTTAAATGGTTTTATTTTAATAAAATTTTGTATAAGTAATGAAGCATAATAAGTAAATGATAAAAATTTCAAAATGATTGCACTTCTTTAAAGCCCTTTGACCTTTAATAATGTGTGGATGCACCCTTATGTGCTACGCATTCTCCAACGCGCCTAGGCTAGTGAAATGTTGAGGAAAAAGTTGGGACAAGGTGACTTTTATAGTAGGTATGCTTTCTCAATAACCTGGTCACATTTTTCAGAAGCATCAATATTTATAATTTTTGTGGTATTACAAGAATTTATGTGCATCCAACAATTTCAAATAATCACACCTTACTTCTTTCCTATAGTTTCTAATTGTTTCTAATAGTTTCTAATCATTCTTTCGTATTTAACTTTCTTTTTGGTGTCGGAAGAAGAAACGTTATACTGTGGAAATTTCTACAATAAAATTACGTAAGTTGAAAATATACTAAATGACATATAAATCCGAACACCCAGTTTAAATGGTTTTATTTTAATAAAATTTTGAATAAGTACTTAATGAAGCAGAATAAGCAAATGATGCAAATTTCAAAATGATTGCACTGCTTTAAAGCCCTTTGACCTTTAATAATGTGTGGAAGCACCCTGATGTGCTACGCACTCTCCAACGCGCCTAGGCATGCTTCTGATCAGGTGGTCAATGTCCTCCTGTGGTATCTCATTCCAGGCAACCACCAACTCCTCTCGAAGTGCTTCTAGAGTCTGAGGAGAACGTTGCAAATTGAGCAATCTCACGTATCATCATATCAAACACGTGCTCAATTGGGGATAAGTCGGGAGATCTTGGTGGCCATGGTAACAATGCGACATCATTATGTTGAAAGAAGTCTATTGTGACTCTTGCAACATGTGGTCGGGCATTATCTTGTTGGAAAGTTGGATCTGCCAGGCTGTCAACATAGGGTAAAGGATGGGGTTCTAGAACTTCGTGGATATAACGCTGCGCGTTCATGTTACCTCTGATGAAGATTAAAGGTGACCTGGAACCATAAGCTATAGCACCCCAAACCATAACTCCAACAGTGTGATGAACATGTCTTTCAACAAAAAACTGTGGATTCCTCCTTTCATCACGTCGCCTTCTAATCCTGGCACGACCACCGTCCATGCCTAAAAAAAATCGAGACTCGTCACTAAAGACAATACTGTACCATTCCTGATCCCAGAGTGACCGTTGTCTGCACCACTCAAGGCGATTACGTCGGTGTTCTCGAGTTAAAGGGAGGACCCAGTGTGGCCGGTATGAAAACAAGCCAAAACTTCTCATTCGTCGGTAAACACTTCGCATGCCAATAGGTCTTCCGTGTTCTGCAAACCATTCATCTGCAATGGACCTGATAGTGGAGAAACGGTCCCTTAAGGCCAATAATCTTAGGCGGCGATCTTCACGGTCTGTTGTTCTACGGCGGCATCCAGTGGTCCTTGCTCTTTGCGTACGGCCTTCTCGAAGCCATGCCTGACAACACCTAACCACAGTGTCTACACTTCTTTGCACTCTAACTGCAATTGCCCGAAAAGAAAGTCCCACTATACGGCCCCTATCAAACTCACTAAGTTGACGAAATCGTACAGGTCTCCGTACTCTAGGCATCGTAACCGATCGTAAAGGATGTCAAGAACCAAAATCCGCCAACGTTGATTCTTTACTGCGGCTGAAATATTCATTTTTAGAGCGTTAGTGAATTAAAAAAAAGCAGTATAAAAACAGGAATGTCCAACTGATAAGGCTGAAAATTTGTTCACTTGTTATTTACAGTAAGATAAATACATTCACCAACTTTTATTAAAATAAAACCATTTAAGCTTGGTGTTCGGATTTATATGTCACTCAGTATATTATAATCTTGAATAGAATAGTACATTTATTGGGAATGCTGGGCAAATGCTATAGCGTATATGCATATTAGCGCACCATTACCAAAACTCTCCTGTGCATTTTCATGGTTCACTTAAGCAAGAGTTTGAGCTTCAGCAAAATAAAAATGTTTCGGTAAGTTGTCTGCTCCCTCTGACACTAACTTTCCCAGAAATTTATTACTAAATAATTCAATTAAAAAATCACGTTTGCAATAAAAACTGGGTATCGATTAAGGACGTGTAATTCATGTTACGTTGAAAATGTAATATTAATTGACAGCATTACAGATGCTGCAAACGGCGCGCTCATCCATAATTCAACCAGCTACAAATTAACGATAGCGATGATGGAAAAAAGATGAAACGCGTCCTTTTGATCGCGGCCTCGATTGCGATGATGGTGTCTTCGCATACACAATCAGCGCGTCGACATAGAAAAACCTCGATTCTCTTCACTTTGATCGCATCCGAATGGGTTTGATTAGCATGCCATTCATCGCCACGTCCTGCGTATGTCTGCAAGAAATTAGGATACGGCTGCGGTTACACTACATGCGTTTTAAGCGCGTTGCATGTAACACCAGTGACACAATGGCGAAACCAACTGTTTCAGAGACTCACGTGATACTAATGAATCCGAATAGATTAGGAGCCGTACCTACATGTTTTAGTGCATACTTTTGACCAATTTAACAATGGTTGCCTACCAAAGTGACAACGTTCTATCAACACAGCAATACTTACCGGTGGAGATTTTGATCTTAGTTAGGCTTGTGCCGCTCTTTGCAAAGTATGCAAGAAGTAATATATCCTGAAATCATCTAACCCCACTATTATCTGCAAACACCCGAACTTTCAAAAAATAGCATTAAAAATACGAATTTGATGATCTCAAGTCCACTTGTGGTATGCACTTTTATCCTGACTATAGACTGAGACTTTGGAGACCTACAAATCGTAGACGTGATGCTTCCACTTGGTCTGAATTCCACGCACGTCTGAAAGAGAACTACAGAGTGACCCGAAAGTGTCGGAAGGACAAGATATTTGGGAATAGGCAAGGGGTAGGGTAAAAGGAGGAGAGATGGACCACATTTTAAGACACTTAGGCGTGCTCCTTTAATAAAAAAACAACAAACCTAAAAAAATATATATAGCATAACTTGGTATTTCTTTTGGTATAGATTAAAACTAAAAACATCAATTCATAGAGCTAAAAAAAAATATATCATGAGAGGTATGTCATTGGTCCATCTATCCTACCCTGTGGCGGTGAGATGGACCTCTAGGGGTAGGAGAGATGGACCATGCTAAGATTTCTATTTTTTGGTAGCTACAGACTTTCCACACTTATTACAAAGGTTAACGAAGCCAGTACAAGTTTCATGTAACCAACGCTTACAAAACATACATTGTAACCAGTCATCTTGTTTACATGTTTGTCGATAGTCCTCCTTGCATCCGACACACTCATTTTCTAAATCACTGAAGTCTTCATCACCACTAGAACTGTCATCAAGAGTAACATCATCTTCAGAGACTGACGATTCGCTGAGCTTTCTCTTATTTTTTGTTTTTTTCACAGGTTTTGAGCTCTTCTTGATTTGTGCATCTTTCTTATTTTTAATAAATTCTTCAGATGTAATCTCACCGGATATTTTTTTGCGGACTCTTTTTACTGCTGCAGATAAAACAGGCACGGGCATTATCTCATCAAGAGCCTTTCCAGGTGTTATAACTTCATCAGGAATTGATGACTTGTTAGGGCTACAAGGTGAAGCTTTTGGATTTTGAATTCCGGAAGGGCCTGGTTGAGGAGATTCTGATCTAACTGACAAATTGTTCATCTGCGATGTTTCTGTTTGAGGCGTTTGGGCGGGTGTCTGTGTCAAAAAAGCATATTCCGGGATAACTAATGGATTAAATGGATAAATTCCCGTGAATTTAAATGAAGAAGTCGCATTTTGAACAGTTGCTGAGTTTCCCCATGCTCGACCTAACAGCTTACCAAATTGAAGGCGATTTAGGACCCTGTTTGGGTTATTTTGAACGGCATTCAGCGTAGAAGTTGCTTTTAAGAGATTTAAAAAAGGCACGATCGAGAGGCTGTAGATAGTGCGTTGTATGGGCTGGTAAACAAAACAAAACTATTTCATTTTCTTCTGCATATTCTAGTAGGTCCAGGTTGGTTGTATGGGACGTGTGGCCATCTAATATCAATAAAGTTTTACCTGGGGGCTTTTTTGGTAGAAAATGGGTTCGTAACCACTCTAAAAAAATGTCGCTGTTGACGTAAGCTGATTTTTCTGACATTCTAATCTTAGAACCCGGTGGCATACCTTCTAACCAGTCCTATTTTCTGTTTTTTCCTTTGAAAATACAATACGGGGGCAAGAAAATCCCTTCTGCACTACAACATGCTATAACGCTGATTGTTTCGCCTTTTTCCCCAGGGCTTACACTAGGAACGCATTTTGAGCCTTTTTCGGCTAGTACTTGGCCAGCTCTGGTATTCAGCTGTAATCCTGTTTCGTCTGTATTAAATATATGCCCGGGTTTATCATAAAAGTTATGTTCAGTCATAATTCTCTCGAGATCAGAAAAGTAATTACCAACGGTTTCTCTGGACATTACATTCCCAAAGCTCGCGCAATTGAGGTGTTTTCCGATTTCCTGATTGAAATTTCAGGTCTTCGCTTTAAAAATAGTTCTAACCATTTTTGGCCAGCTTTACCTAAAAAAATCGATAATTAGTAACAGCAATGTGTGTTTCATATTTTCAAATTTTACCTTCTTTTTGATTAAATTTATTTGGGATCCCCATTCGCTGAGCTAAATTAAACGCCATGATTTTTACTTCAGTTCTGGTGGGTGCAAAGCCTGCCTTTTGCAGTTTCTTGATGTGATTAACAATTTTAAGTTCGGCATTCGAGCCCAAAGAACAATCCGGGCCCAATCGATCATTCTTATCAGTGTTGTTTGCTTTTAACCGACGCTTGAAAGTTGTTTTTGGTATCCCAAATGCTTTGGCGACGTCACGTTTTTGAATAGTCAGATTGTTGGACCAAGCTTTCTGTTCTTCCCAAGTTTACGATAACCTTTGGGGTATAATGAAAATTATGTTAGACTGAATCACACACTCATGGTCTTACTTGAAAAAAAATTACGTGTCTTTGACTCCTTTTGCTGCTAATACTTATTGTGTTGTATGCCAAAGAGCCTTGTGCTACCATATGGTGTTCAAACGTATCATCAATGATCATTTTCACTGTATTGGCGTGAAATTTGAACTGAAAAGTCCAGTACTGGATTGTTTTACTGGCTCCAGGTTTAGTTCCTGGTGATTATCATGGCACAAACACGAATTTGTCTGATAAGTGGAAATTCGGATCATAGGTACTGGCAGCGGACTCGTAAAGTACACACTCTTTGTTCTATTTTTTCCAAAATCCCAAGACAACTTATAAACTGCAATACGTCTTCTCTCTTTCTAGAATATTGTAAGAAAAGCTCTGAGGTAATAGCTATACAAGCCTGTGTGAAAGTGCTAATAAGGAAGGAGACTGTAAATCATTCGATCGTCATCTATTCAGAGAGCCAGTTCATCACAAATATTATCTAATTTAGTAGGGGACTTCGTGAATACTCTCAAGGAGCTGGAAAACCCAAACAACGTACCATTGCTCTGGACACCAGTACAGAAAGGGCTTAAAAGAAATGAGATGGCGGATTAACTAGACCGATGGCGGTCAATCGTCTTAAGGTCCAGATCTCATCTGTGGCGTGGCGAGAACACGTATCAAACAATTCTTAGGAAATTGAGCCAAGAAAATGTCCCTAGAATGGTCACAAACGAGTGCATTAAAGAACGAAAACTTGCATTTACCGAGGAACTACTCGGATTTAACAGGTAGGCCATAAGGACAATCTCCTAACAGGACACTGTTGGCTGAATCGACATATGAGGCTCTTAGGGTCTGGTAGAGGAGGCAACATTCCGTTTCTGCAGAAAGCATGATGAAACCCCCAGTGCATCTCTTGTGCCACTGCGAAGACATGGCACGTCTTCGGTTTCAGATATTAGGAATCAGAAATCCAACAGCAGAAAGCTACATGCAAAGCCTTGTATCAAGGCTATGGAGGGTAAGGGCTGGACACAGAGCTTTAGACAGTGCTAGCAAGGTAGCAAGCCTTACACTTTTCTACGATCTAATCTGCAAGAAAAGCTCCTATAAGGTACTTGCTATAGAGGAGCCCGTTTCTGAGAATAAGTACAATGTCATAATCCAGGTGCTACCTCGAAAAACAGCTGAGACAACCCGTTGGAGATTAAAACGTCATATTTGAATTATGCACGTGTACATCATAGGAGTACATCTGGTCTCAAACAGCAGCGTATCTCTTCCCCATCAATTTAGAGAGATTAGGGGTAGCGTCATTAATCAATGTTACACGTCCGCATCCTGACACGCTCCGGTGCCATTACTCACCCCCGTGGAATCAGATTCTATAAATCTGCCGCTGTTTCAGCTTCAAGTGACGCTTGAGTTGCTCCAGTCACTCACACCGTAGTCACGGCGAACTTTGTGTGGGAGGGAGATAAGTATTGATGGTGGTAAGGCCAGGTACAATTACTTGATGCTCAGAACCGGAGTGCCTCAATATTTAAAAATGCTACAATGAAGACAGCTGTTTGATTAATGAAGTTATAGTTCGACTTTTCGGCGAGTCACCGTAAAACTACGGGTATCACTTTCATACATCTACTTCTCAAACACATACGTATGCAATCCGCCTCGGTGCATGGAAGTTTCTGTAAATTCTATGTACGCTTTTTAGTTTTATTTCACCGCCTCGAACATTTTTTCATTAATATATGAGTCTTCTCCATTCATGTTTGTTACTCGTTATGACAAATTTATTTACCTTTTATTATTTTCGATATAATAATAATAATATTTATTATAAACAAACTATAGTTAATACATATTTTCCGCACATTGAAATTGGTGAGCAGCTCAATGGCGAAGTTCATCTGCAGGGTATCCCAGAAGTCGACGTCAAGCCGAAACCGGGTGATAGGCAAAGTCATAACATCTATCAGAAAAATATTTAAAAAAAATTTATTTATGTATGTCTTTTGAAAATTATAGGTCTTTGAAAAAGATATAGAAATTTCACACCCTACGGCAGTCTGTCAACTCCTGTTACTACTTGGATTTTATTTTTACAATGTAATTCTGAATAATGCATCTTCAAGCTGGTGTCTCAACTTTACTGCCGACTTTTCTCGTTCAGGAAAAATTGCCACTTATGATTTTTCAAAAAATCCAAATAAACTTCAGCAGTCACAGTCTCTGGGAACTCAAACGGACCGATTATTTTACCATTTAAAATTCCTGTCCAATGGTTTATCTTGAAGCGATATTGAGATTTATCTTCTCTCATGAAATGTGGGTTTGCTACGTGCCACTCGTGTAAGTTATGCAGGTTCATGTACCCATCTTTCTTAAATCTGGTCTCATCTGACCATAACATTTTTTCAAAGAACCGTGGATCTTCCCTGTGTCTTTCTAGCATTGTGCGACAAAAAGCAACTCGGAGCTCATAATCCCGGGGCAGGAGAGGTTGAACACGCTGTATGTGGTATGGATGAAGCACATCACTTACTTGCTATTGCACACTTTGATACCGATCAGTACTCCTTCGTTTACTGCGCATCTTTACATGTTCGTGCTTGTTGATTTCGTACTGTTACAAATTTTGGATTCGTGAACTGGACTGTTGATCGCTTGTGATTTGGATTTGGACTGTTTAATTGCTCTTCAAAACAACATTTGCTTTCCTTAGACTATCTTTGATGGTGTGATTGTGCAGTGCCGCTATGTCCGTGTACACCGTACAAGAATATGCTAACATGCACCTCATTTATGGGGAATGCAGATGCAACGCTAGTGCTGCAGCGAGACTTTACTGTGAGAGGTACCCGAATGCAGCTCGTCATCCAGATCATCGAGTGTTCACAAATGTGCACCGCTTACTGTTCTCACTACCAAACCAATCACACGGTGAGGGCAGATCTTTCCTTCCTTACGAAGACGTGGTGCTAGGAGCTGTCGAAGAAGACCCGAGTACTTCAGTGCGTGCAATAGAATTAAAAACAGGTGTGCCCAAAAGTACAGCCCATAGAATCTTGCAAAACAACGTGCTCCATCCATACCACGTACAGCGTGTTCAAGCTCTTCTGTCCCGGGATTATGAGCCCCGAGTTGCTTTTTGTCGCACAATGTTAGAAAGACAGAGGGAAGATCTACGGTTCTTTGAAAAAATTTTATGGTCAGATGAGATCACATTTAAGAAAGATGGGTACATGAGCCTGCATAACTTACACGAGTGGCACGTAGCAAACCCACATTTGATGAGAGAAGATAAATCTCAATATCGCTTCAAGATAAACCATTGGACAGGAATTTTAAATGGCAAAATAGTCGGTCCGTTTGAGTTCCCAGAGACTTTGACTGCTGAGGTTTATTTAGGTTTTTTGCAAAATCATTTAGAAAATTTATTGGAGGACGTGCCACTGAGTATTTACAGGGACATGTGGTTTCAGCATGGTAGCTGCCTAGCGCACTATGCACTCTCAGTGAGAGAGTATCTCGATCAAAACTTTCCAGGCAGATGGATAGGGCAGTCTGGTACAATACCGTGGCCAGCCCGGTCACCAGATTTGAATCCGTTAGATTTTTTTGACTGGGGAACTGTAAAAGAAAAAGTGTATTTCAAGCCGATTCAAAATGTAGCTGAGCTACGGCAAAGACTATTGGAAGCAGCTGAGTTTGTTAATAACCGTGGATTCGCTCGTTTAATAACCCGATCTTTTTTAAGATGTCGAGCGTGTATTGCGGCTGAAGGAAAACAGTTTGAGCATTTGCTGTAAAGGTAAATCATCATCAGCAGCATTTTGACGCCCACTGTTGTGCAAACAGTTATCCTTAAGGGTCCTTGTGCGTTTTCATAATCGCTGTTTAATTAGGAAATTTTGAAAAATTTTCATCAGTTTTTCTTCAAATAAAAATTGTGCATAAGTTAACGAGTAATCTTCTAAGTGTTATACCATTTTGGAATCCTTATTAAATGGGCCAACTTTTAAGGTTACTTGCCAAAATCTCGTAGTACATTTTTTTCCAGTACAGCCAGTTAAAGTTGAGGAAAGTTTTACTTTGGAATACTTGGTTGGGAAATAAGTGGCAATTTTTCCTGAACGAGAAAAGTTGGCAGTAAGGTTGAGACATCAGTTTGAAGATGCATTATTCATCATTACATTGTAAAAATAAAATCCAAAAAAAGTTAATATTTGTAGTAACAGGAGTTGACAGACTGACGTAGGGTGTGAAATTTCTATATTTTTTTCAAAGACCTATAATTTTCAAAGCACATACATAAAATTTTTTGAAATATTTTTCTGATAGCTGTTATGATTTTGCCTATCACCCGGTTTCGGCTTGACGTCGACTTCTGGGACACCCTGTATAACAGCTATTCTTCCGCTTAACACAGTGGTACTTTAGATAAACTGGAAGGAAAATGCGAAAGAACTGAGCCTAAGCTAAAAATTTCTTAGCAAAAAAGTATGATGCGGAAGAAAAACACCTTTTAGAAGCATAACTAAGTAGAGCTTTTAAATGTTCTCTAAAACTACGAGTATATAGAGACAGGCTTTTTCTTTTATAAGATGTTGTACAACACGCACGCATTGTATGAGAAGGACCGTTTGGAAAGAGATGAACTATGAAGGGGCATTGTTGATGAAGACGTGTTATGGATATATAGTTGGTAAACATTGTATCTAAGTGTGTATCAATTTTAACTTAATAAGTATCATCTGTGACATTAATTTCTCCCCTCTCTCGCTCGTGTACAAATCAGATAAAAATATAATATTACTATATTATAATTTTTTTTTGTTATTCAGTTGTTTGTTTTAAACAGTAATATCAGGTAACCAAATAAGTTCGTGCGGTTGGTGTATATCGCACAT